AAAACCTAACATTTACTAGCACAGTGATCAGTTCAAAATTTTGAAATTTTCCCATGACTTTTGGAATTAACATTATACTGTATGTAGTTCATATTATATGTCTCTCACTACACATTATATTTTGAACATTTTGCTGTTATTAAAATTCTTTTAATGAATGTGAATGTCCAATAGCTGCATAGTTTCTCTCATAGTATATGATAGGCTACTGAAGCAACTTTCTAGACTTGAACATTTAGTTTCTAATTTTTCTTTATTATAAATACCATAATGAACAAAAAGATAGGTTTTAATTTTATTAAATTCTCCCATTTTATTACTTAAGATTATTAAGCTAGGAGAAAATGATGCTAACATTTATTTGAATCCTATTATGCTACAGAGACTAAGCGATTCTTGCTTCAGCCTCCCAGGTAGCTGGGACTACAGGCACCCTCCACAATGCCTGGCTATTTTTTGGTTGTAGTTGCCATTGTTGTTTGGCAGGAACAGGCTGGATTCGAACCCGCCAGCTCTGGCCTAGTGGCTGGTGCCGAGCCACAGAGACACTTTAAATACATTATCTCAGTAAGTGCTCACAACCAGGAAGGACTGGTATTATTATATTAACTTTATGAGTGCAGAAAAGAATACGTCACAGTGTTGGAGAGTTTTTCGAAACTTTTCATAACCTTACAGGTGTTCTCAAACTCCGGCCCACGGGCCACATGTGGCCTGCTGAGGACATTTATCCGTCCCACTGGGTGTTTTTGCCGCCCCTGCCTCTCCTGCTTAGCAGCCAACTGGTCCCAGGGCCTGCAGTCTGGCCCTCCAACCGTCTGAGGGACAGTGAACTGGCCCTGTTTAAAAAGTTTGAGGACCCCTGCGTAAAGCGTGTGTACACACGTCTTTAGAGGCTTGATTACCTATTTAATTATTAATAGTTAATTTCCTTTCCTTTCTCCTGTCCTCAGCTCTGCAGGGAGACTCTCCCTGTTAAGGACCACATTTTCTACATTTGAAAGGTGGTGTGCCTGGCACAGTAACAGGAACATGGGACCTTCTTGATATGACTTAGTGTGCAACAGGACTATGGGATGAGATCCTTCCCACCTTGTTCTTGTTCTCTGATTTAATCTTTTTAAAATTGAGATATGTGGCTCAGCATCTGTAGCTCAAGTGGCTAAGGCACCAGCTGCATACAACAGAGCTGGCAGGTTCGAGACCAGCCTGGGCCTGCCAAACAACAATGATAACTACAACCAAAAAAAAAAAGAATAACCAGGCATGGTGGTGGACGCCTGTAGTCCCAGCTACCTGGAAGGCTGAGGCATGAGAATTGCTTAAGCCGAAGAGTTGGAGGTTGCTGTGAGCTGTGATGCCATAGCACACTACCCAGGGTGACAGCTTGAGGTTCTGTCTCAAAAAAAAAAAAAAATTGAGATATAATTAAAGTAAAAAATGCATAAATCTTAAGCATACATATGATGAGTTTTCACATATGCCTACCTCTAGAACTCACATTTTGATGAAGACTATAAAACATTTCTGTCACCCCACAGAATTCCCAGGTGCTCCTTCCCAGCAATCTCATCAAACAAGAAAGATGAAGTTTCCAAAAGCCTAGTTAGTTGTAGCTGTTTTATATCTTACACTTTTTATCTTGGAGAATCCATTTACTCCTACTGCTTGAACTCACACCTACATGAGAATGAATGCCCAGTCTTTTTTTTTTTGCAATTTTTGGCTGGGGCGGGGCTTGAACCCACCACCTCTGGCATATGGGGTCAGCGCCCTTCTCCTCTGAGCCATAGGTACCGCTCTCTGAATGCCCAGTCTTGACCTCAATGAACACCAAGCTTTCTGCCCTCTAGTTGCTCTCAGACACTTCCTGAAGGCTCCTACTTTATTTTTATTTTTTTAGAGACAGAGTCTCACTTTATTGCTTATCGCCCTCGGTAGAGTACTGTGGCATCACAGCTCACAGCAACCTCCAACTCCTGGACTTAGGCAATTCTCTTGCCTTAGCCTCCCGAGTAGCTGGAACTACAGGCACCCACCACAACGCCTGGCTAAGGGCTGCCACTTTAAATTTCACAAAGTATGCTCAAAACCAAATCCTATACCCCAAATTAACTTCAATTACATGTTTGTTTATTGAACCAGTGCTTGAAAGCTTAGAATTTTTTTTTTTTTTTTGCAGTTTTTGGCCGGGGCTGGGTTTGAACCTGCCACCTCTGGCATATGGGGCCAGTATCCTACTCCTTTGAGCTATAGGCACCTCCCAAAAGCTTAGAATTTTTAATTCCTTTCTCACTAATAAACTTTAAAGCTTTACCTCCCCTACTTCCCATTTCCACAACTCATATCCATCCTTCAAAGTCCAGGTCATATACTTTGACAAAAATCAATCCTAACCATTGTTCATGAGATTGCCACTGTGTAAATTTAGGATTACTACGTTTGTATGTTTTTTTAGAACTTACCACACATTACCTAATGATGTCTCTTCCACTACCCACTTTTTCTAACCATATTTAATATTCTATGCATTTGCAATCCTCCAGGTTAACCCTATCTATGTGTGTATGTTTGTGTATATTTGAGACAAGATCTCACTCTGTTATCCAGGCAGGAGTGTAGTGTTGTGTTGTGGTCACAGCTCACTACTACCTTGAACTCCTGAGCTCAAGAGATACTCCATCTTAGGCTTGGTGCCCATAGCACAGTGGTTACGGCGCCAACTATATACACCAAAGTTGGCAGGTTCGAACCTGGCCCATGCCAGCTAACCAACAATGACAACTGCAACAAAAAATAGCTGGGCGTTGTGGTGGGTACTTGCAGTCCCAGCTACAGGGGAGGCTGAGGCAAGAGAATCACTTGAGCCCAAGAGTTTGAGGTTGCTGTGAGCTGTGACGCCATAGCATTCTACAGAGGGTGACATAGTGAGACTCGGTCTCCAAAGTAAAACAAAAGAGATATTCCATCTTCCTAACCTCCTAAGTAGCTGGGATTACAGGCAACCACAACCACTACATATATTTTAAACATTTTGCTATATCATTAAAATTCTCTTAATTAAATTCTTTTAATGACATCACAAATGTTGAGCTCGTTAACTTGACATTATGCACTGGAGATCAATTTACATTTATTAAAGGACTGACTAACGTAAAGTCACACAGCTAGTCAGTAGCATAGCAAGGACCAGAAACAGGGCTATTTCACCACCAATACAGATACTGTATGTGAGGCTAACAATCTACAGTAAGACCTGTATAAGTTAACCACCCAAGGGACTGTGACAAACAGGTCAACATATGGAGGTGGTCAACATAAGGGACTAGACCTAGTGTATTGATATGTACATGTGATGCATGTCCAGCCTATGAAAATTAGGTCAACCTAAGGAGGTGGTCATTGTAGGGAGGTGGCCAACTATGGAGGTTCTACTGTATTGCCTGTTTATCCTCAAGTTGTTAATAACAAAACAACTAAAAGAATAATAGACTAAAATAATAGTGGACATATAAAACTATTCTCAGTACATAATACACAATTTATTTACTTCAATAGAGACAAATTTCCTAGTAGGCTTTCTTTTCAGATTATTTTAATATCTCGTATAGACACTACCATTTGGTTAGTTTTATTTGACTCTGTAACAATACAACTAGCAGTGGCTCCTTAGAGGAAGCATATTGCAGTGAGTAAGAATAGATCTAGAGCCGGGGAGGTTACTTACTGTCTCTGTGCCTCAGAACCATTATCTTCAAATAGGCATCTTCAAAATAGTTACCTACCTCACAGGGTTGTTACGAGGGCTGGATGAATTAATATTTGTAAAGGTCATAAAATAGTGTATAGTACTTAGTAAGTACAACAGAATTTGTTTTATTAAAAATGTAGGCTGGGGGTGGTGGCTCACGCCTATAATCCTAGCACTCTGGGAGGCTGAGGCAGGTGGATTGCCTGAGCTCACAGGTTCGAGACCAGTCTGAGCAAGAGCAAGACCTGATCTCTAAAAAAAAGCCAGGCATTGTGGCGGGTGCCTGTAGTCCCATCTACTTGGAAGGCTGAGGCAAGAGAATTGCTTGAGCCCAAGAGTTTGAAGTTGCTGTGAGCTATGATGCCATGACACACTAACAAGGGCAACAAAGTGAGACTCCACCACACACACACACACAAATATAAATGTGTGTGTATATATATAGTGTATTACTATGTATTTATATATATATGTATATATAAAAGGTACATCAGCATTTACACATTAGTTTCATTTTTGATTACAGCTATCCAGTAAAGTAATTAAGGCTAGCATTATTCACATAAAGCAACCTAAGAGGCCATCATTTTCAGTGGCAATTTACTCAAGGTCTGGCTAAGCATATGGCAGAACCAGGGACTTGAACCCCATTATGTGTGTCTGCCAATCCAAATTGATTTCTGTTTTGCCATGCTGACTGGGGTAGTGCTTTGGTCACCTGTTTGGTCACTAGTAAGTATCAGTGTGCAATAAGTCACACATATGTACACATGTCAGAAGCTAAATTGATTTGATTCTTTTACTGGTGATATTGTTGGAGTCTAGGTGGGCCTGTCAGCAGTCATTCACAGGCAGAAGAGAAAACTGCCATATTGCTTGCCATATTGCTCAAAATGACGAAGATTATTTGAAGTTTCTTGTTAGTGTGAGAGGATCTTTCCATAGCTTATTTTTCCATGCTATATCCCCAGTATGATTATAAGACTCAGAAGCCCTTTGAAAAACAGGCTGCTCCACCAAATCATGGACTTCTCCAACCTAAAGCTCCTTCACCCAAGCTTGCTTTCTTATCACTGGACTCAAGGTTCAAAGTGAGTGGATAGTTTTCTTATCAAAGTCTGAAGCCACCGATCACCATCCCTGGTTAATCATAACACCTGTTGCTCTAGGAGCCAAACTCCAGTTCTTGCCTCTTGGCTTCTGTTGCTGTTTGTGTGCAAATATGACCCACCTGCATTCGCATGTAAGACACTTTTGCCTTAGCCAAGCTGCCAAGCAGAACCCAAGGTCGGTAAATGATAGTAAGTAACAACACAATATTAACAAGCATTTACTGAGCACTGACTATGCGACAGACCTTGTGCTATTTCACTTAATATGCATTATCCAAATTAACCTTTAGCAATCCCACGAGCTCCTATTACCCGAGTTTATGGATAAGGAAACGGTGGTTTACGTAACTTTCTCAAGGTCATACACTAGGGACCAGAGTGGACTAGAGACCAGGGCTGCAGATAGCAAGTCTGCGATCTTTCCATTTCACTCAATCACCTCAGAGACGGGGTGGAAGAACTCTTGGCAGAAAAGCAGCCAAATCACGCGAGCCCTCGCCCTTTCCCTCTGAGCTCGACACTTCACTGGAGCACTGAACCACTGGAGGGGTGGGAGCAGCGGTTATTTCATTAGACAGGCTCGGGAACCCCAGGCGCACTTGCCCTGTAAACCCTTCTGGAAGGCGGCGGCGTCCAAGCGATCCAGGGCACCGAGCCGCGCCAGGTTCAGCGACACGCCCCCGAATCTGTCCAGTTCGCCCCGTAGGTCGCACGTTCCGACTGGGGGGTCCTGCGTGTAACCCTGTCCGCCCGAGGTCCCCCAAGACCCCGCCAAAAGCCTGGTTTGGCGAGCCCGGGCCAGCGCCAAACGCCACGGACCCCAGAACAGCAGTGGCGACATCGCCTCCCCGGCTTATTTGCTCCACCTCCACGTCTCCCCTCCCTCACGTTCCCGTAAATTGTAGAAGAGTCCCACTGTTTAGTTGTTCGTGGGTTACCCCTTCGTAGAGCTATCCCGAAGGGCCCGCAGTCCTCCCTGCTAGCCCCTCTCATTAACTTAGCTTTGACTAAGACGAGACACTTAAACACCTCTTTTTTGTTTGTTACGTTCTTTTTCGAGACAAGGCCTCGTTCTGTCGCCTAGGCTGGAGGACAGTAGCGTGATCATGGCTCACTGCAACCTAAAACTCCTGGGCTGGACGTTCATCCCTCCTCAGCCTCTCAAAGTGCTGTTTGCTAGTTTAATTCAATAGTTGTTTGCTTGAGGATAAGAAGGTGGACGGGGAAGCAAGCAAGTCGTGTTTTTTGTTTGTTTGTTTTTTAGGAATTTATAATGTAAATGGCAGTTCTGTTCACCGAACCTGTCTTCCATTGCAGATGTCAGAACCTCTGCGACCGCTTTAAAGACCGGGAGTCCTAAAGATGCTCCCGGCATCCCGCCCGCAGGGTTTCTCACCCTGTGCGCTCCACTCGGGAAATTACGGCTCGGAGGCGGAACCACGCTGACTTCTGCCCCGGAAGTTTCTCAGTTAAGCGCGCACGTTGAGCTGCCTTCGCCCGGGCTGCCTGCTGATCATGTCTTCCAAGAAGAACAGAAAGCGGTTGAGCCACGGCGCGGAAAGTGGTTCGCCCTTGCTGGCTTCTGCTTCCTCTCGTGCGGGAGCCCAAACTTCTGCTGGGTCAGACTTGGCGGCGGCGGCCGGGACTCTGGTGGTGACCAACTTCCTAGAGAAGGGTAAAGAATTGCGGGAGGGAGACCCTCGGCTGAGGGGCGCAGGCTGAGGGGAGGCAGATCCGGCGTCGCCTCGAGGTGCAGAGGCTTTTGAAAGTTTGGTGTGGCCTAGGTGTGAGAGCCGCGCAGAAGTACATAAGACTTAGCATGTAAGGAGCATGTATATGTGTAAGAATGCAAGGTAGCCGCGCCTGCACTAGAGATGTTGGGCAGACATGGTTTATCCGTCTTAGGACGTTTCTTTGTGAAATACATTGAACACTGAAGTTGCATTCGAAACAACTTTATCATATTTAAGATTAACAACACGTTTAACTGTGCCACGTTGTTCTTATCTAGCGAGCATAGGATACGCATACTAAAAATCTAAATACCCAGTTCTGTAAAAATTGTGGCTCCATCCCTCTTCAGAGACAACACTGTGTCTTTAAGAACGAAGATGGCTTTTTCCGTTACTGCACAGGTTCTGGTATTTAATAATCGAAATTAATTGTATACTACTGATAGCAGTAAGTTAGGTATGTCACGTATTTCATTAAATTTTTACAGACGCTGTGACAAGTAGGTACTTTATAGCAATGCTCAATTTACGAAGGAAAAAAAAAAAAAAGAACGCCATTTCATCCAGGTTACGCAGGCTCTAAGTGGCAGAGCCAATACTGCGTCCAGATGTATTAGACTCCAAAGCCACTATCTTAGCTCACAGCTCCCTTGATTAGGAGAACAGATTTATATTTGAAAAGTCATTTAGTTAGCTTCTAGCATGCTTAGAAAAATGGGCCAGACTAAACTAGTGGCAAGATTTTTATGTCCAAACAAACCCTGAAAATTAACTTAGAGTTCACGTAGTGTTTTCCTTCTCCCTTAGGGATTGAAGGACAAGTTGTTCTGGCCTGCAGATTCATCTTCTTTTCCTTTCTTTTTTTTTCTTTGGGCTGGGTTTGAACCCACCACCTCTGGTATATGGGGCAGGTACCCTACTCCTTGAACCACAGGCATTGTCCTCTTCTTTTTCATTTGGATCCTTCCTGTTGACATTTAAACATGTTCGTTTTTCTTCCATCTTAAAACGAACCTTCCCATTTTCTTCTGCCAACACCGTAGCTATCTCTACCTCTTCATTGCCCAAGTTCTTAAATTGAGTGGTCTCTGCCTCTTCTTTCCCATATAGTCCTTAGCCTGTTCCTATTTGACTTTACCACATGGTTCCATGGAAATTGATCTGCCATTTTCTTTTTTTTTTTTTT